GTAATTTAAGAAATTCTTTTCAGATTTGCCTGTCATTTACAAAAGAATTGTTTGTTGTGTGGTTGATATGGTGAATACCGTGTCAGTGGAAGGGTCGGGGATTTTTATCTTGTTTCGACTGTCGAGATTATTTTCCGCATCGCCGGTAATCTGCAGATAATGGCCCGTGCATGAGGTATGAAATGTCATTGCTATTTGAAATGATACGCGCGTGATGTCACTCCCCGTCTTTCAGAGCATGTCACCATATTTCATAATGACTATATGTAACTGATGAAAGATAAGCCCGGATGTGTTGAACTTTTTATGGGTTTATATCGTCTGGATATACAGCATTTACCAAAACTCAATTGTTACAAACAGTTTTATAGTTTACCTGGCATTATAAACGGATGCCTTAAATACACAAGCTAAATTTCTTGTTCTAATTTATTCCTTTTTTCCATAATATATATCTCTTTGTCTATCTGAATGTTTGTTTCTCCGTCTGTCAATTGTCTTTTTGTTATTCACTTCATTTGCCCCCTCCCCTCCCTATCATTTTCGCAAACCGCCCATTAGTCATAGTTGGAATCTAAAAGCCGGCACTCGAAATAAACTAAAATAGAAAAGAAATTAGNCTTTGTCTATCTGAATGTTTGTTTCTCCGTCTGTCAATTGCCTTTTTGTTATTCACTTCATTTGCCCCCTCCCCTACCTCTTTCTCTCTCTCCTGAAAACTATCATTTTCGCAAACCGCCCATTAGTCATAGTTGGAATCTAAAAGCCGGCACTCGAAATAAACTAAAATAGAAATGGAATTGATATTGATCAGTAGCGGCCTGCCTACATTACTAAGCTCCCGCCTCAACCGCCTGGTCTCAGAAAAGAGCACGCAAATCAAAAGAAAGTTTGGAGAGCGATAAAAAGCTCTTGAACGCTGGGTTCGTTGCATTTAAATAATGGACAGGCAGACACATTAAAGTATTACACTGTTTAATGTCAATACACAGGTAAAGCAAAGAGGAAGTAACAATTTTATATCGACGTGTTCGTGATGTTCTTTTGCAATGATAGGATTTAAAGTGTAGGCATGTTGTTTGAAATGGAACTCTATAGGGATGTTTTCATCCATTTAAAAAGGAAAGATTTTGTTGTCTGAGTTGGTGAATCAACTGCGATGGAATTGTTACTTCTAAAATATAGGAACTATATTCTCAGCACATGACTGGCGTTTGTATGCATATAATTGAAATTTAAAAAAACACACACACACAAAACAAATTAGACGGTACCCTTATAACAACGAATAAAAGAACTAGCTTAAGCAATTACTCGTGATTTATGCTAGCACGTCAGTTCCTTTGATCCAAAGGTTCTTTGATCTAAAAAGAGAAGAAAGTTTTAGATTAAATCTACACCGTTTAGGTTGGTATAACGAAGATTCATAGATTTGCCAAGCAGTCGAGACAACCTACACGGGTTGTAGGGTGCAGCAGACCGACTGACCGCCCAAAACGACCTGCATGGGTGTCAGGTATGACAGATTACCGGTTGTGAAGGCACGTGCCCGGTGTTCTGTAGATAGTGTGCTTTTCAGCGATACAAAGTGCTCTTATTCTCTATCTCTCTATCTCTCTCTCTCTCCCCTCTCTCTCTCTCTCTCTCTCTCTCTCTCTCTCTCTCTCTCGTCACATGCGAGGGATGTAAGCAAGCTTGTAAGCTCTAAACTAAACGCATGAACCGACGTCCATAGTCACATAGAAAGTGTCATTGCATGCTTACACACACGGGCATGTTTGCACAATCGGACACATATACAACCTTAATATTTGTTTATATATATATATATATGTTTTTTTTTCTTCTTTGTTTCTGATATATGTACAAAGAACGGTGACTTGTAGGCCCATGAGGCCGGGTGATGTATTTATATCACATGTCACGTTAATAAATAAATACTTTATACATTTGTACGCGCTGATACTGGCTGATAACCCGATTGTCTGGATAGAAATGATCATGATTTTGCTATTGACAGTTTGAGTGATAGTCCGTCACATAGACCTCTCCATGGTTCATAGATTAACAAACGAATAATTGACAGACTGACAGAATGACCAATGAGTGGATAGATTTTCCGTTTGGCCGGAGCTGCTTCTCTCACTGTCCCGTGATGAATGAGACCATTGATTGACAGGTCCTTAATTCTGATTGATTGTTTTGTTGTTTTTTTAACGACTTGTGTGTGGTAGCAGGCATTCGTTGACGTTCATATATACATGTTTGCTACCATGTGGGGCACTATTATACTACTTGCTACTCTCTTTTAAATGAATTGGTTGTATGGGGTACCCTTGATCTAGGCCTAGCCTATATGTACTTTAATGACTTATAAAACATAATAAATAAGGGATATATTGCATAAACTATTGGCCTTTCCTTCTACATGTGCTCGGCCTCCTCTTCTGACAACCATTTTTCTATGTCCATTGCCTTTTTACTGACAGATCTAGGGCTTTGAGGAAGTTTGACAGGGGCAGTAGCTATAACTTTACTACAGTATGATGAAAATTTGCTTGTTTTTTGTCATTATACAGTATGTGGGTAGATAAAGTGAAGACAAGGTTATTTCAGAAGGATTTTGAGGGTCAGGAAGTAGATGTGAGACCCCCCCCCCCCCCCCCCTGAGTCCGCCATTGCTTTTACGTCCTACCTGTTGTTTTAAGGCACGCGTTGTTCTACATTTCCACGGCAATTATAAAACCTTAATGGTTGGCGTCTTCTGTAGCCGACTGAAGAACATAAAATATTTCTTTCGTCTGCATTAAAAACAACATGCCAACATAACGTTCATAAATTCGCCATAATTAGACAGTGCGCTTTGTCGGTCCCTTTGATTTAGAAAGCGGGCTGTTTCAGTCTACTCAATTTCTATGGCATATGCTTTTCACTGTAAATTTTTCGCCATTCAGACGTCAACAAACATTGCGTTTTTTGAAGCGTTATACCACTGACGTCTCTTCACATGTTACCTTAGTGCAGGCGTCTCTGATATGGGTTAAATATTTTATTATATTTTTCTTAAACCAATAAAAAAAGGTTTTACATGTACTTGATACTTTGGTGTATGTTAACTACGAAAAAAAGTCATAATAATATATCTAATAATATGTTTAATGATATATTTAATAATATATTAATGTTAATTTTAAATTCAAAACCTGTTCAGTAGCATTTACAATTAGTACAATTATGTGCGGTACATATATAACAGTTTGACGAACTGAAAAGGCACAAAACCAAGCAATTTTGCACCACTCATATTGACAGCGCTCGAAATTCATAAGGTAAATTTTACTTTAAATTGAGCTACTACACTGAATTCAGCCGACGGAGTTGAAGAGGGGGGTGCACAAGGTTAAAGAAAAAATTCAAATAGTTGACGAGGATAATTTTACTGTAATATTAAGTGCACAGTGATTTAAAATTGCTTGGTCTTGTCTCTTTTCTCTTATTATACTCCTTTTCTTCGTTGAGAGTACCAGTGGAAGTGGTTACTGGTACCTCCGATCTAAGTGGGGGTGGGGGGTGGGTGGGTGGGTGGGTGCTGGGCACGTACTCGTAAGGGCTGTTTCCCAATGACACTATCGTTCTAAGTAGATTAATCCAACACGCTTCCTCTTATTTCAAACAACCTCGTTTTAATCACCAGCTTTTCTGTATTCTACTCAACGCCAGGAGGAGGCGTCTTAATCTGTTGAACTGAATGCATTCAGCGAGAGCCGCTGTGGAGTTGGATCGACCTACGTAAAACTGTAGTTTCATTGGAAATGCGCTCTGAGATCCGCCACAGTATTATATTATATATAAGGCATTTTGGTCATACTTCTATCAAAGTGGGATTTTTTAGTCGCCTTTTTCAAACAAAAAGCTAATTAAAGAACAGCAATATTCCATGCAGCGGTGAACCATCTCATTACGACGGCTAACACTACCCATAGTTTTCCTTAACCGGGCGATTTTCAAGCACCATCAATAAAAGCCTTGCTGATAATAGAAGATATACTATGGGCATAAATCACGATTATCAGTTATCAAATAAGAAAATATTGGATTTTGCGATCTTTTATCTGCAGATCCGTGTACTCAGCAGTTGGTTCCCATTTTGCAATGATTTCCTGTCATAGATTTGGTGAATACGCAGAATGCAAACATGTAACTTCATTCAAGAGCAAACCACTTTTGCACATGGTATACCAGACTGCATGTAAAAGATTCTGTAGAGACGGTTGGAGAAGAGCGGTTGAACCATTCTTGTGAACCAAGAAATGGACAAACAAGCAATCTAGGCAATAATAATCTACATTTTGTAACGCACTCTTCTAAAATCCATATTTTGCTCGATTATTTTTGAAATAACTGACAATTTAAAAACCACCTTACTGAAATATGATGTAGCATCCCTTCATTGAATATATTAATACCATAACTTTTCATTTCAAAATGATTCTTTTAACTTCGTATTTTATTTGCAAAGTCTACAGAAAATATTTTTATGGATTCAAGACTCTAAATAGATATATCATAATTATACATTCTAGTGCTTACATACATATATGTTATACTTTCCGCGTTTTACCCTTCCCCAGGTCATATTTTCGAATCCTAACTCTACATATCATGCAAAGCTGCCTATCTTTTCCAATTCAGGCCTTAAAAACGAGAAAACTATACACTATGTTCATATCGAACTTGTACAACTTTTACTTCAATAACTTGTACAATTAGTACATAGATCAGGTCCGTAGCCAGCAATTTCAGAGGGGGGGGTTCGTTTTCTGAAAAAGTGGACCTTTTACCATAAAATCCTCAAGTACATAGGTCAAATTTTACCCAGAGTGGACCTTTTCCCAGCAAAAAGGGTGGTTCTTTCAAACCCCCCGAACCCCTCCCCCCCGGCTACGAGCCTGTAGATCAATCCCAGCTTTATACTGATGGTTGATTCCCCTCTTTTACAGGAGGCTTTGCAGGCAATGCCAAAGCGCGAGAAAGAAGGGACAGAGACGTAACATGTCCCTCCAGCAGTTCCCAGGTACGAGAAGAGATAAAGAGCTGCACACAGAATTACAATCAGCACCTGGGGCAACTGACAGCAGGACCAAGGTTTCTGTATTCTGGGGTCGACGTTGAAGCCATCAGAACATTCTGCCAGTAAGTCTGCCTTGCACCGAATTATATTGCTTATAATATGATTTTGCTAATAAAATAAGGGTAATATAAATGAAAAACTGCATTGCTTCGCTAGAAAAAAGTAATTGGGACAGAGAGATGAAGATGGTTTGGTTTGGTCTAAAATCGTGCGTTGTATTGTTTCTAAGGGAAAAGAGAGGAGGGGTAGAAATGAAAACATCCGTATCTTAGAGGGTGGTTCATGTCTGCTCTGCCCCCTCCCCCAGGATCCACCAATAATCTTGATGTCTGATACGTATAGCATAGTGTAAAATCATTTTATCATAAAAGCATCCCATCTTTATTTAGTGTTGAAGCCGCTAAGTTTTGACAGCCATTTTGTCTTTCGAGGCCATTTTGGAAAACCAAGGCTGATAATGGGCAATGCGTACACGATATCATGGCATGATTCTTTGAAAGTAGAAAATCGCGTGTGGCACGTTTGGAGGACATTCGCGATGAAATTAATGCAACATGACAAATGAATGTCTTACGCAAGGATTTCTGTCAAGACTTGCCTATAAATCCTGCTTCACAGGGTGTGTGCGTTTATGTAAGAAAAGATCTATGGATTACATCTTTTCATTTGAGTACACATAAGAGGTACATGTTGTCTACACGGGAAATAATAGCATGAAGTGGACGAGGATAAGGGGAAAAGAAAATACTTGTGACATCTTGGCAGTTAGTTCCACTTAGCGCCGTAGTGTGTGAGATTTTTATGAGAGAAAATGTACCCGACTCTTGAATGTGATGCTGTGACGAAATGATATACTACACACCCAGTACAACGTACCACAAAGAACTCGTCTGGTAACATGTTAGTTGTCTGGTACATCGTAACAACTGTACGGCATGACCTATGAGAGAGAGAGAGAGAGAGAGAGAGAGAGAGAGAGAGAGGAGAGAGAGGGGGAGAGAGAGAGAGGGGGGGGAGAGAGAGAGGGGGTTGGGGTGGGGGGTGGTGAGGGAGGGGAGGGAGTTATGGACGGCAAGATAGGGAGAGGAGGGAGGTAAAGTAGTTATCTTATGGCCGCCATTATTACTGATAGACACACGTATTACATAGCTTATAGCTGTTATAATAATGATAATGACAACACTGAGAAGAAGAAGAAGTAGGAAAGAATGAAAAAGAGATCTTCTTGCCCAGAAAGCTTAACAATATTTCTTGAAAAAAAAAATAGAAAAATCGAGCAGTACTTGACTTTGGCGTTTCCACCTCTCCAAACTCTTCAGAACCAGTCTGCCCCGTTGATTTATAATACATTAAACCCCGGCCTACCCTTATAAATACCAATAAGTGTCAGGTTTCAAACATACGATTACCGCTTAAAACCCAATAACAAGTAAATAATGATGAAGAATTTAATTTCAGATAACAGGATACACGCATGGTAGTCCTCTGGCTGTTTGGCACTTGCCAGTTGTGTGTTTTTTCTATTAATTTATAGTGCTTAAGCAAACATGCTGCGTGATACATACTCGGAAAACCACTTAATGTTTCGAGGTTGAGCGAGGACGCCAGAGGAATGCTATTTGAAAGGATGGGTATTAGTTGAGCGAATGCTTGGATATGGTATTGTCTTCCAGCTATTGTAGACTCGGCACAACTAGGACGTTTTCGGAAAGGATATTTTTTCGAGTAACGGGAAGATATGAGTTTAGCAATGTTCATATAAATTTCAGCTAATAAAGAATAAATAGTTTCCATAAGATCCATCCGAGATAACCGATAACTGGAGTTTTAAGACGGAAAGTTGTGCTGTAAATAAGATGCAAAACTTAAAGTGATAATTCTGGAATAAAACGCATACGACCTCAGCTGTTTGCTGAGGTTCATATCATGCTTTTTTACGTAAGAGTAATCAATTTTATTATTATCTTATTATTATTAAAGACATATATACAATTTATCACCCTCGTATTAGGCAGAGAAGTACTGACCCCCTTTCTCCAACATCAGCGTGATCATAAAGCAGAAAATGGGGAAGATAACTTGATGGCCTTTAACAATAAAAAGTATATACAGTTTCTGCTATTAAGTACCTTTCAAGCGGCAGGGGTCCGTACTCAAAGGACCGCATTAGTTAGCACGGACAGGTGGCAATAAATAAACCATAAACTGTATAAACCCACATGGTCTCATAATCCTGATCTGACATTTGATATTTTGAAGCAGCAAAATTTCTGACCCGTACACCCCAAAAAACAGCCTGCGTGTGCATCCACGTGTAAAGTTCGCCAGGTGTGCAGATTTGAGCTTCGAAGGGACACCCTGACATTCAGGGTCTTGATGGTGATGGAGAACGAAGAAGATAAATGATGTGTACTCTTGTGTTTATTGTCTATACTTCAATACACAGGGTGGTAAGCCTGATATTCTTCCCCCGAGGAGTCAATTTTATGTTTTGCCCATACATAACATAGTATCAGAAGCAAATTAGTGATGTAAAGGACAGATTGGCGTTTTTAAAATATCTATTCATACAAATGTGTGTGCATTGAATCATGTGGCGTTCTTAGATTCACTCTATGAAAAAAAAAAACAGCTTTACGTCGGTGTAAAGTTGCTGCATTAAATCTACTTCGTGTTTGTTTGCGAAAGTGGTGATCAGAATTCAAGAAGCATTTTTTCTTTTCCTTTTTCTTTTTTTTTTTTCATCGGTGCTTGGTGTACTGTTTGGAGGAAACCTTTAGTCCATTAAATAAACAGATTAGATCAAACTGAGGAAACCATTATAAAGGCATCTTTGAAATCCACACAAAGCATACCTTAACAATAATGGTGACGCCACGACAATCTACATTTGTTGTGACGTCATTTTAAACAATGACGTCAAAACATAGTTTTCACGTCACAGCAGGTTTTCTTGTCATTTTAGTACGAATGTTAACCGCTCATTTTGAATATATACCTCACTGCTTCCTTTGTGTTCCCGGTATAAGTGGTATAACATTCACTTTAAATAGCTTCAACCGCTTATGTCAGGACACAAAACTCTGAAACAAAAAGAAAGCTACTGGAAAATCGATCTACGCACTTTATGCTATTTGTTCACCATGAGTCCAGGGACCTTCACAGATTTAATTGATAGCGCGGGATCCTCGTAGACTTATGTATTGCAAATACCATTTCCTTTTAATAAGCATGTTCACTTTTTTAAAGTAATATTAAGATTTTATCAACTCCTTTTTTTCTATTTGTTATAGTAGCGTAAATGGAATTGGCCAATGGATATTACGTGCGTAACATGTCTGTTCAACCATTTAAGCACGTGCACTCGAGCCCGCGCGCGCACACACACACGCGCGTGCTTTACTGCTTAACTAAAATATACTTTACTTAAATATTTTTCAGGGGATACGATCAAGGAACCCGGTGTCTCGAATTTATGATCAAAATGTGCCCAGAGACGAAGTCACAAGTCCAAACTTATTTATATAATATGACCAATTTTCAAGAACTCTGCACCCATCCTAAACTATACGAAGGTAACGGTAATAAATTTTATATGTTTCAATGTATTGTATAAATGGTGTATTGAAACGTCTTAAGGGGAGTTATCTTGAAATTATTTGTGTTGTTTTCACTTATTTACACAATGGACAATACTCATACCTTATTTGAATTTTAATCAAGCTTTCTGAGAGCATAATTTCTCGTTGTTTAAAGGAATCAAATATTTACTCCTTGCACTGTATAATTAACAGCTTTTAAGAAGCCGTCTTTAAAAACTTTTACAAGGATCCGTTTCCCTTTATACAATTAGCACAATATTAGAGCACAATATTTGAAATACCACTTTAACTTTTTACTTTCAGTGTATGCCATGCATCAGAATTGTTACATCGCACAAAAAAAATATTCCGAAAATTGCTATCGTACGTATTACACAGTTTCTGATGACGTCACGTATAATGCTAAAATTGGACAACAAGCCGCTGTTCAGATTGTTTGTATGTAAGTAAAATATTTTTTAGTATTTTGCATGGTTCTTTTTCATGGTATTGTCAAAGTATAAAAGATAATACCATGAACCTTGAGTTTTTTTTTTTTTTTTTTTTTTTTTTTTTTTTTTTTTTTTTTTTTTTTTTTAGGGGGGATTAATGAAGCAGGCTTTATATTATCTGCAATATGACATTATCGGAACTTCGGAGGGTTAACAATTAATTTAGAAGCTCAATGGCAGGCGTTGTGAATGCAAGCATATTTTATGTTCTTTTTATTATATTTAATTATTATACTTAATGGATATTTTATCAAAAACATGGTAAACCATTATTAAGGTCATCACAGGTGCGATTTTTTTTTTACAGACGTTTGGACGACTTCCTAAACTGTGTAAAAGATAATATATTTGCTAAATGTGGTCCAGAAGCCTCCACTATAACTGATGTATTAGTGAACACAGCGCTAGACCTCAGTCAAACTTGCTCAAGTAAAGCACTCGCTGGGACGACAAAGGTACAACTATTATTATTATTATTATTATTATTATTATTATTATTATATTTATATTTGTTGTGTATATGTGTGTGTCACAATTGATCTTCTGGCGAATCCCGCACTGGTTTTAGTTTGTTTTTTTTTGCAAAGAAAAAGGTTTCAAATTAAGAAACAGAATCAGTAAAATCCAACCAAAGTGAAAAGAAAGTCATGTTCTTTTCTTTTTCAATTCAATCTATTTGTCTTTCATCTTCATTTTATTCAGAGCTCAGCTTCCGGAGCAACGTCGTCTCCCGGAGAAGGCACCAATAGACAGGAGAGCGCCAGAAGTACGGCCCACGTGCAAGACGCACCCACGCTTACTCTTCTTTTCGTAAATGTTTGTTTACAACTTGGACTTGCATTTTTCCTCACCTGGAGGACATCGTGAATAAATTACTCAACTCCAAGTAAGGCACCTTTTTCCAAGACGCCGTGGTGAAAAATAGTCTAAATCTGTGATGTTTGGTCTACATGGCTCCTGTCTCTGCCTCTGGCCCTTTCTGTCACTGGACTTGTATCGAATGTAAAAAAAATACTGACATGAGACTTAAAAAGGAAGCAAAGACATAATCACAGAGAGAGATGATCAGAGAGAGAGATCGATGGCTTCGTTAAGACTTAATTCCTCTCAATGGTGTTTTGGTGGTGTCTTTTACTGTTACTGTGATCAATCATACTGACTGCCATTTTCTTCAGAAACATGTTTACTTCCAAGTGGATTGTCTCTCAGCCAAGAACACCCCATGATGTCCGAAGCCTCAATTGAAATACCATCTCTTTGGATATGTAAAAATATAGTGTATATAAACATATTTAGCCTAATGCTGAGTTTAAAATCAAACGTAAGATATTCATAGACTTGGGTTGGCATACATATAAAGAGAGAGAGAAGGCGGCAGACGACAGACTCTTCTGAGGTGTTTTTGCGACAAAGTCATGGAGGGGAGTGAGATTCGAGGAAGCCATGATGGCTTCGAGCCCTTTGCAGGAGGAGACAGTTTGGCAGCATATTCTTTGTAAAACTTTTTGCAAAGTTATGTAAATTTGCATTTTTGTCGACTAATGGAATAATTTAAGTTAATCGTTGCCTATGAAAGTTACTAGAGGTATAAGTATCAAGTTCAAGACGCTCAAACCTATGCAAGCGTAAGCTTCAGAGCTAATTGTTTGCGCATGCGTGTCCCACGGCATGACGCCTTTGAGAAGAACAGTAATGGTAGGCCCATCCTACGTGCCAATCCGTGAACATGGCTGTAATGTTCACATCGCTTTATGCTTGAAACTGGATGTAATGGTTCGTGTTATTTCTGGTTGTGAAAGTTTATGGAGTTCATTCTGGTCACATGACTTCAGGATGAGCGCGTTTTAGTGAGGCACAAGCGACATGCAATGCGCACGCACAGTGTGCCCAGACATAGGGTGGGTTTGTGGCACCGAGAATCCGAATATTGGGAATGGTTGCTCTTTTGATATTTGTTTTAATATTTTCTTATAGTAGAGAAAGCAACAGTCGCCATCCAAGGGTGCTTTCCCAGAGATTTAGATCGATCTAACTCCCTGGGGGTTCACGCTAACACCCCATTTCCATAGATTAGATCGACCTACTTTGGATCGACCTAACTCCCTGGGGGTTCGCGCTGAATAGCTGTCAGCCGGGCGGACACGAAAGTTAATTGCCCCTTACGGCTTGTAGTGGGCGGGGACGGACACTTAAGGGGGATTATCTGACGGTAGTCTGGTGAGAGTCCCCGCGGTGATAGATCGATCTAAAGTTGTGGGAATAGACCCTTAATTGCAGTCAGCGGAGCGGGCACCATAGTTAATTACCCCCTTACAGCTTTTAGTAGGCGGGACAGACGCTAAAGCCGGCTAAGCTGACAGTAATCTAGTGAGACTCCCCACAGGGATAGATCGATCTAAAAATCTAAGGAAATGGGGTGCAAGTGTTTCACGACACACAAGCTTTGGGTGAACTTCGAATGTTTGCTTGTATGGTATAGTTATTTCATTAAACTTTATGATAATAATGATTAAATGGATTAATTATATGATTGATTTGGAGGATTTAATCGGATATATACAGTGGCTACATAGTCTCAAGTTATTGGCTATCATCGGATGTAGCTCTTTGTTTTGTTTATGTTTATGATTTGATTTCCATCGCGCATTAGAAAATTTCTGCTTGTCAACGATCCAGCCTGTCGATACAAATATATAACGTACACAATATGTTAAGAATAAATCGCTTTTAGCTTTTATGTCACGTATAAATGTATAATAAATAAGTGATATTACGCGCAGTAATGGTGGCAAGTCGCTTAGCTTTTTAGCATCAATCTATATTCTCTCGCAGTATTTACTAATTTATCATATACGATTTTTAATGGGCAATCTTCCTGTCCTTTCTCGTGATTTTAACTTACAGCATTCTTCCTATGGGTTTTGCCGGAATGTGAGTTAAGTATTTTACCAAATAAGCATTAAATGTTATTCAAGATAATGGCTCCAAGTTACAAATTTATAACTTCCTATTTAGTCACAAATGTCGATGCTGTTTCCTTATTGTGAACGCAACGTGTAGTATAAAGTACAAATTTTAAGGTTTACGCTTGAAACATTTAAAAATGGCGCCAAATACGACCCAGTGGATGAAATAATAACTCAATTAAGCAATTCTGTTTTGTACTTCTGGTAATGGTGTTTTGATAATTTTTCTTTTTAGTGTATTTCATAGTGCATTTTCTTTTGTAGTGAACCTAAAAGAGATAGTTTGAACGTCGATTAGTTAAGACAGATTTTGAGGCAGGCAATATTGTATCTTGGTGCTGTTGGTCTTATTATTATTATTATTATTATCATCATATTTTTCTGGATGAAATGTAAAATAATAAAATATTGTTTAATATAGATATACTTGTTCTTCCATTTATTGTCAATACCTAAATGCAACATAACATTTATCGTTGTTAACCAAAGAGATCTGAGAAATGTTAAAAATACATAAACGTTACATGCATTACATTCAACTGCGTGCTAAAAATTACTTCTATCACAAACTTGATTGAAAAAGAACATCCGTTGTTGATTGCCTTGAATAGAGGGTACCGGAGGAGACAGAATTGTACCGGAAGTGACGTGTAGTGGTGTAAGACGTGAAGGTGGGTGGTCATTTTAGCTGGAGGTGAACTGGAGTGAAGGCGGGGGCTCAGAGAAAAAGGATTTTCCAAGCCCACGTCAAGCATAGGTTTTGCTAAATTTTCCATAAACCAGATTAAACCAAAGAATGTGCAAACATTTGGCCTCTGCTTTCATCCCGCAAGATTAAGGAACGGAAAACCGACAAGCTGTCGTGAAATTCGTGGTATTGACTCTGTGGACTGGCTTTGCCATTTCAGCATATCTAAATCAAAAGAGAGGGAAATATTCACCACAGCTCGGGGCCTATTCTACCATTGAAACAGACCATATGCATTTCTATAGACAATCACTAATAGCAGCCACATTAGAAGGTGTCGAATATGAAATATCTATTCTCAAAATCTTTTCTGGCTGTTTTGTGTTAGTTTTGTCGACTAGCAGTCTGTTACACAACGGTCCGAAATAGCCACATTTTGTGTGTTACTTTAGTATGACTTTCTAAGACGACATTCCTGGTCCATAGAGTTTTTACCTATCTTCTAGCGGGTTCTAGCATGTTTTCCAATGTCGTATGACGTCGCGAAGTACATGTCTATAGGCAATAACTAATAGACCCCATTTCCAGAGATTAGATCGATCTACTTTAGATCGGCCTAACTCCCTGGGGGTTCACGCTAAATAGCTGTCAGCCGAGCGGACACGAAAGTTATTTACCCCCTTACAGCTTGTAGTAGGCGGGACGGACATTTAAGCTGGATTATCTGACAGTAATCTAGTGAGACTCCCCGCGGGGATAGATCGATCTAAAAGCTCTGGGAATGCAGCCATAGATGTCAGATAAGTCATTAAAAGGTTCTGATTATTCTCAGCACCAAATGCTTCACTCTGGAGCAACACTAAGATCAACATCATATCATCCAGGATAGCTCAACGTCTCGCAACTTAACTAAAATTAAATGAGATTTTGAAGAAAGTGTAGTAAAAAAAAAAATGGCAGACTAACAAGTGCAGATACAAGCCGACTGCATTTATCTGCGAATATGTTCAGGTTGCTTTCATTCCATTTTATCGAACAACAGACTGTTGCACAACAGATGAAAAACACCATATCTTGCGTGTCACTTTTATATTTTGCGTGTTTAGGGCGAGATTCCGGCGCATACAGTTCCACCTGTTTTCCTAGAAAATCAACCCAACTTTAAGAAAATCCTTGCATGTTTTCAAATGGCGTGTGACGTCACGCAATGCTTCGTTTTATGTTTTCTCGGGTGAGTCCCATGGCATCCAATAGCAGTGGCGGATAATGGGCGGTCCCGCCCATTCCCCAAAGACAATTCTAAACGTGCTTTGAGAGGTATTAGCAAGACGTATAAATATCAAGAAACAAATAAATGACCCAACAAACAACATAGCATTGAAATTAAATAGATAAAACATCGTGGAGTAAAGTGCCAAAAACCTCAACCTGCTCGCGCTGATGTCTTGCTCCGCTTCCGATTATATACATCAATATGAAAAGGTTTATTGTTAGTCTCAGCTTCAACTACATGATACCATCTGAAAACAAACGTCATACAAATAGATTGATTAAATGTTGATCGACTGTGATTAGGATTGGCAACACTTAGGCACGAATCACCCGATGAAATTGCCATTGTCTCCAATGTTGCGTATTCTGTTTCGTAACTCGACCACACAAAGAGATGGCTTTTTTAAAAGTCATTGTCGCGTGAGAGACTTTACCGACAGATGTGCCTTGTTTTTACTCGTCAGATCTCATCATGGAAAATAAGGGCGGTGGTAGTCCGCAACGCCCAGTTATGGCTTTCACACACTTATAAATTATGGGATAATTCAATTAAAACCTATTATATCTATTAGAGCACTTGGGTGACTAAGAGTAATTTATGGTAAGCTTTTACTTTTGCGACAAGCTGATCAAAGCCAATGGTCATACAGTCTTTCTCGTCAGTTTTCTTATTAACTTTTTTGGTCAGTTCTAATATTTAAAGGGTACAATTCAAACTTAAAGGCCAATTAAAATGATAAATTATAATGCATTGTATTGCATCTTATTGGTGTTGTATTGTGTTGTCTTTATCTCTGTATGTCAAGGCGATCAATAAATAGCTTTTAAATAAAAGAATGATAAAAACGATGCTCTCATCATTACACCAAACTCGCTCTCTCTCTCTCTCTCTCTCTCTCTCTCTCTCTCTCTCTCTCAGACCAATGCGTGCATTTATGTGAATCATGGAGTAGCATAGAGCGTACAGAGCTTTCATGCTTTATATACTTTGCAGGGAGACACGCAACAGAGATCTTGTTTCTTCTTTGTAATGGGCTTCATCAGTCAAATGTAACCAGGTTTCTCAATTAAAAAAAGAAGCCAGATATTTGCAGATGTGCCATTTCGTTACCGTAACATTTGCTTTTGTTTCGTGTATCATGTTTTTGCAGTTATTCGATCAATACAATTTTGCACTGAGGCAATATATATTCAATTTCTGACTCCTGGTTCCAGAAACAACGAATACGAGAAAGGGCAATAGTACAGTACTTAAATGTTTGTACAAGTTAGCCACCTTTAGGTTAGTTAAAAGTAATAAAAGTTAAATCAGTTCTTCGCTCATTCAGGTGGCTTAAATCTGGGCTGGCGACACAACTTTCTTAAGCACTCAGCTACCCGACCTTAAAACAATGTAGAAATCAATAAAAAAGACCACAAGGGCGTAATTGTGATATCCCTGTTTGACACCAATGACAACAAATCGAAATCTAGAATTTTCGCACGCCTCCATTTTCCATTCGAACCTTAAGATTAAACATTAATGTGTATAAAGATTTAAACCAGATAATATTTTTAACAAAATGTATTTGTTGTAAATCAAGCAATAATTGACAAAATAGGAGTTGCGCAAAACGGACATTTTCATCGCCTTTGGCATATCTAAATCGGTCCTATGAAAAATAGAACATCCGAAAATACAGAAATTGAAAGTTGGTCTTTGCTTATCAAAACATACATACATGCATACACACACAAGCACAGATTAATTTCATCGCTTTGTTATCGAGCCCATGGTTGAGGTTTTGAGCCCACATGTATCGCACGCTGCCACAAACACATATTTAAAGGGGATTGTGGGCAGGTTTTCCTCCTGTAGACAAGTAGCAAGATTAAGTGCATGAGGCACGCCAAACCTTTCACGGAAGAATCCTTCAAATCAATTCAAGGAGACCATTTTTCTGCGATGTTTCAAAACGATACGTAAATGTCAAATATTTAGAGGAAAATATGTTTGCCAGACCTAAATTACAGCTTAATGGAACCAATAACCCAGCACAGACATTAAAATGTCGCCCTGGTTTAAATCAACACGGAATCTTACGAACAGAAACATGGCTAAGTTTCTGTTGAGGATAAG